AGAATTTTCCCACAATGATATGAGTTGAGCTGACGTTTCCACTGAATTTCACATGGCCTTGCTTTCCCAAAAGTTGTTCTCATCCGTTGTTCTCACTTTTGGTATCTCCCCTTCTGCCATGGGTCATTCGCGTTTCAGGTAGCATCATATCATGCCTTCACTATTACAATTTTCACCAAAATTGTTTAGCACACATTTTGTCAAATGATCGGCTTCACTTGTCTCTTTGACGAGTTGTTGTATGGTGCTAAGGATGGCGATGCTCACTGACGATGCCGGCGAAAGGTTTGGGAATGTACCACATCCACGGTTCAACTTTGCAAATGATCATGCAGACAATGGACTCCGGACAAGATGCGTTCCTCAAAGTCTTCCTAACAATATGACCAAGTTGCCGCCAACAACTTCCATACAACGAAAGGACACTGCGACCACACAAAAGACCGCACCATCTTGATCTTCATACCTTCGATTCACATAGGCTTGCTTCTCAAAAGGTATTCTCATCCAATCAGGAGTGGACTGCATTTTCCGCCAAGAAAGTGTCTTCTGTCCTAATCATCTGATTGTGGGAAAATTTATCTACAAGGCGTACTTCATCACTCGCAACGAAATAGGCTGAATACATCTCATAAAGAGGATTTTCATACAATTCACATTCAGAGCCGGCAAGTTGCAACCGGACACTTGGCCGGTATCCCAGTTGGCGTGGTCAGTGAGAGATGCCATCCTTCGCACACAATTGCCCCGCGTCCACGTGATCCGTTAAGGCCGATTTTCTGTTCAACCTTTTTTGCCACCTTCGCCGTGCCCCCAGCCCCCTTTCCTCCTACTTCAATCACACTTCCTGTGGCCACTTTGCCTATCGACACACAACTCTCGAAGTTGGCATCATCTTCATCACTTTTTCTACTCGTTAAGCTCACTTCCATTTCGAGTTAAAGTGTGTCATGCAGAGATTGGAAGCTCGATCCCATTTGACCAGTTGTCAATTGGCCTTATTGCAGCATTCTTGTTGATGCTGATTCCGAGGCATTCTCCTTCGATTCCGGCGAAAACGTATTCATTGTTAGGAGGGCCTTCATTTCGTATGAAAGGGCATGAAGAAGAGATTCGTTGGTTGATCTCACCAGAAGAGGATGGTTGAATCCGGTCCTCGTCTGGTGAGATCGAGCAACGAATCTCTTCTTCGTGCACTTTCATA